AGAAGTACCCAATCGCGAGGCATCTTCGGTACCACAAGTTTCCAAGGTACTTTACGTGGAAGACACGCACCAAGTCATGGAGTCCAAGAGCAACCCTCCGAAGACGGAACGCCACCAGCGAAGAGAAAGCCTACGATTTCAGTGGTACAGGTGCCAACGTAGTCGGTCGAATCTACACTTTCAGTCCGAGGGAGGGTGAGCGCTACTTTCTTCGCCTCCTCCTCACACAAGTGCCAGGGGCAACATCCTTCGAGAACTTGCGAAATATCGACGGCGAGCAGTGCACCAGCTTCCGACAAGCTTGCTTACGACTCGGTTTGCTGGCCGACGATGCCGAGTGGAAGCACGCAATCCGAGATTCATTCCGGTCAAGCTTCGTTCCTCTTTCTCATCTGTTTGCTACGATTCTGGCACACTGCCAGCCTTCGGACCCTCTCTCGCTGTGGAACGACCACCTGGACATGTTTCTCACCGATATTCGCAATCGTGCACGCAGACAACCCATTCGAAGACAGCAGCTTCGCGATGATCACCACGCCACATCTTACGTACTTCGAGAGGTACAGGAGGCTCTGCAGACCGTGCGATCCGACTGGACGCTCGCAAACTTCGGACTCCCACTGCCCGATGACAGCCTGCCCGCTTTGGAACAGCAAAACGAGACCGAGACCCCCGAAGCACGAGCGCAGCAGTGGGAAGGGCGACTACAGACGTCGTTGCCGCTGTTGAACACAAATCAACGTCATGCCTTTGACGAAATAGTGGGCTCCTTGCTTCCAGGCGTATCCGTCTCTGCATTGCTTCAAGGATCCTTAAGCGCCGTTGCGGGACCTTCTATGCTGACACGAAGTGGTCGTCTCTTCTTCCTCGATGCTCCTGGCGGAACAGGCAAAACATTCGTGCTCAGCGCCATTCAAGACTTCCTTCGTACGCGCCGTAAGCAGGTCATCGCTGTCGCTACGTCTGCTGTTGCTGCTGTGCTGCTCGACGGTGGACGCACCGCTCATTCCGTGTTCAAGATTCCCATTCCTGTATCTGCCGAAAGCACGTGCAGCTTCTCCGCAAACTCCGACACAGGCCGTACACTGCAACAAGTCGATCTCATCATATGGGACGAGATCGTCATGTGCCATCGACATTGCATTGAGACTGTCGATCGCTCCCTTCGAGACTTGATGCAAACCTACCGGCCCTTCGGAGGAAAGTTCCTCGTGCTCGCTGGAGACTTTAGACAAATCCTTCCCGCCGTTCCGGGCGGGTCCAGAGGTCAAATCGTGAGTGCGTGGGTCAAGGCTTCCCCGCTGTATCGAGAGTGCCGATTCCTGCGCCTTACCGAGAACATGCGCCTTGCTGCTCTCCGAGCGGACCCTGCAGCAGATGTGGAGGCGCTCAACTTTCCAGAATTCCTCCTCAGCGTCGGGGAAGGCAGACTTCAAGGCGAACAGCGCCCGGAATGGATCTCACTACCACAGTCCGTTGCGTTCGAGCACACCATCCGCAATTTGTGCCTCAAGGTCTTCCAAGGCATTCGAGACAATCACGCCGACCCTGCCTGGCTCACCAAGCGCGTTATACTCACCACAAAGAACAGGCCGCTCGAGGAAGTCAACGAGGTCATCGGCAACATGATTCTGGGATCGTATCGAACGTATTTGAGCGCAGACAAGGTCGAGAACGAAGACACCAACGCCCTGATCTATCCCACAGAAATGCTCAACACCTTGACCGCCGGATCTGCTCTACCAGACCACAAGCTCAAGCTCAAGAAAGGCTTCATCGTCATGCTTCTGTGCAATCTCGATCCCGCTACCGGTCACGTCAACGGCGCGCGATATGTCATCGAGAACATGACCAACAACCTGCTCTTTCTACACGTTACCACCGGGTCACACCAAGGCAACAGACTGTGTCTTCCTCGAATGCCCTGCGGACCAGGAGACGACAACTTTCCCATCCCTGGCTTCACCCGAACGCAGTTCCCCATTCGCACGTGCTTCGCCCTTACAACGAACAAAGCGCAAGGCCAATCCTTCGGTGGCCGCATTGGTCTCGACTTACGAGATCACTGCTTCTCGCACGGTCAACTCTATGTCGCACTATCAAGGACTACTCACCCAGGCAACGTCACTGTCCTCACTCGAGAGTCCAATGAAACAACGCGAAACGTAGTGTACCCCGAGGTCCTTCAGTAGTTACCAAAAAAAGTAAACGCCATTGTCTTTACATATTTTCATTGCCACCCTTCCCAAATAGTGTTCCTCCACGCTTCCTTGGCTCGGCGCGCGAAGCGCGCACGGAGCCCACTTGTCTACAACTACTAAAATCCGTGTCTGTGTGTGTGTCTGTATGTCCTTGCGCTCCCGCGTTGCCATTGGCGCTACCGTGACAAGTGGCGGCCACGGGCGGGGCCTGGCCTGCGGCCAGGCCGCCACGGGGACACGTGGCGGTGACAAGTGGCGACAAGTGTAACATTTTAAATTAAAATTACTGTGTGGACTGCGGGGCGGGGCCCCACTACAGGACAGGCTGACAAGTGGCGACAAGTTAAAATTTAAAATTAAAATAACTGTGCGGACTGCCGAGCGCGGCCGCGCTACAGTACACTACAAATTTTAGCCCGGATCCGTTTAAACCGCGCCACGCGGATCTACATTGTGGGCGGAACTGGGGCGGGCACTGCGAGCACGTGACGGCGGTGTGGTAGATGGACGCGTACGACAGGGGGGCGGACGCGTGAGACACGGGGCTGCCCGAAATACCGGAGGCTCGTGGCGACGTGGGCGGGGCGGCGGTGCGCGGGGGGCTGTGCGTGGGGGGGCCGGAATTCTTCAACGCGGAGTTGCGCAGCGCGTGGTGCTCCGACTTTGGGAGCGGATGTGGATGCGCGGCGACGAGGAAGTGCGGGCCGGGGCGGCGACGGGCGGCGATAGGGACGGTGGGCTGCAAGATGATGGTGAGCGGAGGGCGGTTTTGGGTGTGCGGCGATGACGTGGAGGAGATGTGGGCTGGGGCACGGATAGGGACGGTGGGGGAGGGTAGGTGGGGGGCGCCGAGGCGGGGCGGCATGGATCACCACACTCGCGCGTGCGCGTGGGGGAGCGGAGGGCGCGGGAGCGGACCGGGCCAGAGCTGGACGGCGTGGAGTACTACAAGGGTCTTCAACCGGGCGCGCGTGCCGGTGGGCGGGGGAGGCAGGACGGCGAGCGGGCTTCAACCGGGCGCGCGTGTTGGGGGGCGGTGGAGGCGCGACGGCGAGCGGGCGCTAACTGGGTTGCTCAGAGACGGTGACGGACGTAGTGTGCCGGGTAGCAGCGGAGGCAGGCGTTGACGCCGTGGTGGGCGAGTGCGGCGGGTGGGACGGGCGTGCGCGCGAGATCGCGGACGCGGTGTGCATGCAGCTCCACGCAACGCGGTTCCAAGCGGCGGCGGAGACTCTGCTGGACCGGCAGGCGGGCGAAGCGCGCGTGGTGGCGAGCTGCGTGGAGCTTCTGCGCAACATGAGCGGGCAGCACGCGGCGAAGAGCGCCGTGCGCGGCGAGATGTGGCGGGCGACGTGCGTGGTGGGCGGCAGTGGCGGGGCGGATGGACGCAGGCGTGGCAGAGACGTTCTGCGGGCTGGTGGGCGGGGTGTGCCTGCGGCGCGGGGACGTGGTGGACGGGTGCGCTTAGGAAGGGGCGGTCGAGGTAGTGGTGAGAGCGGTGGTGCGGAGGGCGGCGGCGCGGGCCGCGCGCATCACGGAGGTGCGAAGAACGGGGAAAGTGGTCGCTGAGAGCCGGGCAGGTTTCGCAGCCGGCGGTGCAGGAGGGCGCGCGCAGGCGGGTGGGTGCCAGGAGCCGCCGCCAGGTAGCAGTGTTAGGCGG